GCTCTTTATTGCTACTATTTTAAATGATAGCCTTGCTAGCTAAAGTAGCCTTGGTTGTAGGTCGTTGCTTTTCATCACTTTGAATATTTCATGTCAGTCCCTTCTGGTCTGAAACATTTCTGTTGAGAAATCAGCTGACAGTCTTATGGGAGTTCCCTTTAGGTAACTGCCCTTTTCATGTGGCTTTTAAGATTCCCTCTTTGTCTTTTATCTTTGACATTTTAATTATGATGTGTCTTGGTGTGAGCCTCTTTAGGCCCTTCTTATTTGGGACTCTTTGCACTACCTGAACTGTGTGTCTTTTGCCTTCACCAGGTTAGGGAAGTGTTTGGTCATTATTTCTTCAAGTGTTCTTGATCATTGCTCTCTCTTCTCCTTCTGATACCCCTATGATGTGGATGTTGTTGTTTCATGTTGTCCAAAAGGTCTCTTAACCTATACTTTTTAAAAAAATTCTTTCTTTTGCTATTCTGATTGGGCATTTATTCTACCTTGTCTTCCAGAAAGCTGCTTTGATCCTCTGCTTTATCCAAAAAGCTATTTATTCCTCCCAGTGTACTAGTATTCTTCATTTTATATATCATACTAGAGGCCCGGTGCACAAAAATTTGTGCACTCGGCGGTGGGAGGGGGGTCCCCCCAGCCCGGCCTGTGCTCTCTCACAGTCTGGGACCCCTCGGGAGATAACGACCTGCTGGCTTAGGCCTGTTCCCGGGTGGCAGAGGCAGGCCCAATCCCTAGGTGCAGCCCCTGGTCAGGCTCAGAGCAGGGCCGATTGGGGAGTTGGGGCGCCGCCCCCTGTCATGCACAGAGCAGGGCGGATCAGGAGGTTGCGATGCCACCCTCAGTCACGCTCAGGGTAGGGCCCGATTGGGGGTTGGGGGCACCGCCCCCTGTTAACACTCAAGGCAGGGGTCGATGGGGAGGTTGCGGCACCACCCCCTGTCATTCACAGAACAGGGCCATTCAGGAGGCTGGGGGCGCTGCCCCTTTCTCTCACAGAGCAGGGCCAATAAGGGGGTTGGGGCGCTGCCCCCTGTCAACTCACAGAGCAGGGCCAATCAGGGGGTTGGGGCGCTGCCCCCTGTCACTCACAGAGCAGGGCCCATCAGGGGGGTTGGGGCTCCGTACCCTGTCACGCACAGAGCAGGGCCGTTCAGGGGGTTGAGGAGCTCCCCCCTGTCACTCACAGAGTAGGGCCGATAGGGGAGTTGGGGCACCGCCCCCTGTCACACACAGAGCAGGGCGGATCAGGGGTTTGGGGCGCTGCACCCTGTCACACTCAGGGCAGGGCCCATGGTGGGGGCTTGGGGCGCCACACCCTGTCAAACACAGAGCCACAGGGCGATCAGGGGATTGGGGAGCTCCCCCCTATCAGGCACAGAGCAGGGCCGATCAGGGGGGTTGGGGCGCCTTCACCTGTCACGAACAGAGCAGGGTGGATAGAGAGGTTGTGGCCCCGCCCCCTGTCACACACAGAGCCGCAGGGCTGATCAGGGGGTTTGGGCGCTGCCCCCTGTCACGCTGATCCGGGTGCCGGGAGGCATATTACCCTTTTACTATATAGGATAGAGGCCTGGTGCATGGGTGGGGGCAGGCTGGTTTGCCCTGAAGGGTGTCCTGGATCAGGGTGGGGGTCCCCACTGGGGTGCCTCGCCAGTCTGGCTGAGGGGCTGAGGGCTGTTTTCCGGAAGCAGGTGACTGAAGCTCCCAACCGCTCCTTTTTTTTTATTCTGGGCCAGCTTTAGCTCTGAGGCTTCGCTGCTGAAGACATTGATACAATGTTGGGGTCAGGCTGGCTGAAGCCCGGCTGACTAATGCAGGTTTCTGGGGTTTTGTTTAGCTTCTATATTTGTTACATAGTTGCTGAGAGTTGCAGCTGAGAGGCCGGCAAGTCAGGCGGGGAACGTTGGAGTCCGCAGTCACTGAAGCAAGCAAGCCTCCCTGTTCGCTTCAGTGCATGGCTGCCGGCCGCCATCTTGGCTGACAGTTAATTTGCATAAGGATATGCTGATTAGCCAATGGGAAGGGTAGCGGTCGTATGCTAATTACCATGTTTCTCTTTTATTAGTGTAGATTCTTCATTTCTGACCTTTACTATTGTTTCTATATCCTTTTTATAATAATTTCTTTGAACTCTATATCTGATAAATTGCTTGTCTCCATTCATTTAGCTCTTTCTATGGAGATTTCTTCTGTTCTTTCATTTGGGGCCTGTTTCTTTGTCTCCTCATTTTGGCTGCCTCTTTGTGTGTGTTTCTATGTATTAGATAGATCTGATTTGACTTCCAGTCTTCTTGGGATGCCCTGATGTAGTAGGTGTCCTGTTGGGTCCAGTGGTGCAGTCTCTTTCATCACCTGAACTGGGTTCTCTGGGAATGTCCCTTGTGTAGGTTATGTAGGCCCTCCTATTATAATTTAATATTGATTGCTATTGGCCCATTTGTGTGTGGGATTGACTTTCAGGCTAGCTGACTGTGAAGCTCAACCTTGGCCATGGTGTGCAAGCTGCTGTGCAGGTGCTGACTCCACATAGCTTAGTTCACCTCAGCAGGGTTTAGTGCCCTTTGGATATGCTACTTGTGAAGCTTATTGGAACCTTCTCTGTTTTTGTTTGAAGCTGACCACTAGGTGTGTTGCTTCTGGGCCTCTTGGGAGGCACTCGGTTGCAGGCCACTGTCAGATGCTGCCTGTGATTGGCCTCAGGAAACCTGTTTGGAGCTAACAGCAAACCACAGTTTGTGACTGCCTCTTCTGTGGCTGGGTACACAGGGGAAGGACCAAGATGTGCACCAAGGCTGGCTTTTACCAGCACCAGGCTTGAGGGCAGGTCAGCAAAAGTCCCAAGGCACCCAGAGTTCAGCCTCTTCCTGCCTCCACCTGCAGTCCACCTGTTAGGCTCAGTCACTGAAAGAGCCTCTGGCTATACTCCTCAGCAGGGTGTAACATCCGCAGGGTGGGGTGAGAGGAAGTTCAGAGTGTGGGGCTATTGCCTTCCCCTAGACCAGTGGTTGGCAAACCGCGGCTCTCGAGCCACATGCGGCTCTTTGGCCCCTTTAGTGTGGCTCTTCCACAAAATACCACGTGTGGGCGCGCACGTACAGTGCGATTGAAACTTCATGGCCCATGCGCAGAAGTCGGTTTTCGGCCTGGGCAAGTCTATTTTGAAGAAGTGGCGTTAGAAGAAGTGGGAGGTGGACATATAGAGAGGATGAACGAAAGGAGATAGATGAAACAAGTATACAAGATGAGTGTGGATGGGAGAGTTGGAAGGGGTCGACCTCGGCGAACATACCTCAATCAGATTGAGGACGTTTTTAGCAAAGGCCTGCTTAGGAGTACCCTAATTAAGTTAATAACAATGTACCTACCTATATAGTTTAAGTTTAAAAAATTTGGCTCTCAAAAGAAATTTCAATGGTTGTACTGTTGATATTTGGCTCTGTTGACTAATGAGTTCGCCGACCACTGCCCTAGGCTGATGCCATACAGAGCAGAATGTTTCACTTACAAAAGATGGCATCTATGGTATGGGAGAATGACTCAGCACAGGGATTTTGGTGGCTGTCCCTTCAAGTCCCTCCCAAAGCCACAAACCCCAGACTCTTCATGCAACTCTAGTTCTCTCTGACCTCCATCCACCAGAGCCCAGGGTGAGTGGCTACAAATAAAATTTTGTGCATTGGCCCTTTAAGAGGATTCCTGTGCCTCTAGCCATTTCTCCCTGGTGAACAGAAACCCTGTTACTTTTCATAGCCTGATGTTGGTGACTCTGTTGCTCTAGGCTGGAGAGTCTGGTTTGGAGTTTAGACTCTATGCTCCTCGGGGGGAACTTCCACAGCTGAGATATCCATTCAAAACTTAAGCCACCACCCGTGGGAGCAGGGTCAGCCCTTTTTGTATCTCTGCCTTTTCCACCAGTCTCAATGTGGCTTCCTCTGTAAACTTATGGTTATAAGACTTCTCTTTAGCTACTGTGCAGTTGGTTATTCAGGATGATTGTTCTATAATTTAGTTGTAATTCCAGTTTAGTCCTGGGAAGAGATGAGTATAGCTTCCACCTATTCTGCCATCTTGGATCCTACTCTTAGTAGAGTTCTTAAGAGATGGAAAAACCATAGAGAATACATGAGACAAATAAATATTACATATCATTGTTGATGAAATTTTTAGCTATGTTCTTGATTTTACACAGCCTTGGAAATAACTACTTACTGCTTAAAGTCAATCAAATAACGGTTTATTTTAAGTATCACAGAACAGAGTATTTGTTTTATTGTTTTCTGTGTTGCATCATTAAGGAGAAGAACTGGTAAAATGAATGAATAAATTGTAAGAATTGTATGTTAGTCAATATTAAAAACAAATTATGCCAGGGAATTTGATAGCTAATGTAGGAAGCAACAGAAAGAGCATTTCTGAGACAGAATAATTTTTTTTCCGTGAATAAAGTTTTTAGATATTATTAGATTATTTTATTTTATGTTCTCTCATGTTAGTTATTTCAATCTGGGATCTTAAAAAAAATCTTATTTTTTTTCTTTCAAAATTTGGACTGCTTAAAGCAAGAAGTCTGCTAAACTACAAGTGGTAAGAAAGTTAGCTTGAGGGAGGGCAGGGTAACCTCTTTCCTCTTAGGGCCAGTCCTATAGGGAGATAATGGGTGTGATTTCAGTAGTGCCAGGAGATCTGCCATGCTTCCAAATATCTTTCTTTCTACCTGTCATGGAGCCTGACAGTCCATATTTAGGCAGTGACTTCTTTGGTGCATGAACATGCAAATGCTATTGAGAGGGGCAACACCTTGCTATTATTATAACCTAATTCTTATACTCTGTATAAGGGATCAGATTTCTATGGGACAGCTGAAATCCAGAAATAAGATAGCATTGTTTCCCTTAGGAAAAGAAGGGGAAGGGGATAGTTACAGCCAATAGGATTTCATAAGTCATCAATTTTTCCCTAGTGATTAATCATCTTGTTCTTTGGTTATTTTCTAGCTGACATTGATGACATGAAAATATGCTATGTTTTAAGAGAAGGGGCTAATGCCACAAGTGATATATTCCAATTTACAGTTGAAGATGGTGGTAAGTATTTCACTCTCCTTTTAGTATAAACAAGGAGAGTGATTTTCATTGGTAGCTCTTTGATATTATAAGGAATCTGTATCAAGTATTATTTTATGCTCACCTGATTTTATACTAAATAAATTTTGTATTTGCTATATTATATTCTCAATCTGATACAGTGCTACTCTGCAATAATTTTAGATAAATGTTCTAATTATGTTATTTTTGTTTTATGATTTATAAAGCACTAAAAAGAAATATCTGTATAAATAGGATTTCTATTTTCAGTTGTTCAGATTATGCTCTGTATGAGGCTGCCTGCTTGAGGTGACAAGAGGATATTGGAATTTAGCCCAGCTCCACTTGCAAGCCATTTGCTTATCTGAGTGTTCCTAACAGGGTATGTCTACTCATGTACAAATTAGAACAAGTTATCTTTTTCTAATTTGCACAAGGGTACTGTGTGGATTAGTGCTGGTGGAAAATATGTTGCTTTCACCAAAGAATCAGTGCTAAATAAATGTGTTTAAATCTCACCAATCTCAGTATGTCTGATAACTTTCTTATTTGGGGGATTTTGTGACTTAGTCTAGATAAAATTTTCCTTGGTGACTTCTGAAGGACACTGTAGAGAATAGGATATGACCTGTAATCTAAGTCTCCTTTGCAATATTATTGTCATTTCTCCTTCAAAGCTTTGACTGCTGCTCAGACTCTTTTCAGTTCTCTTCCTAACCCTGTTGACGAGGAGAGAAAAAGGCTGCTTCCAGGTTGATTTAAAAGGATGTTTCTGTTCTCACATGCTCTTAAGAGAAGCAATAGAACATCAGGAAGAATGTGTATTGTATGAACAGGACACAAGAAGTGAGGTAATATGTGTAAGAGAGAAAAGAGAGGGAGAAAAGAAATAATTCAGATTGATTCATCTGTTTCCATGTGATGTTTTTAAAATGGCATGCTATTATGTCACCTATCTCAAAAAGATTACATGCTTACCCTTCACATGTTTTGAAACATAAATAACATTTATTTAAAATATCTTTGGATGTAACATGATCACAGCTCTGAAATATGAAAGCTGCTGGGTGTGTGCCAGTGAGACAAAAAAGTGTTAACTTCGGTTCAACTAGTTTGTTTCTACCACAAGTCAGATATTTAAGAAAGTTAATGCTTTGTTTTTATAGTAACCAAATCATATTTAAGTATTCTATTTGTTGATAAGCGAATCTTAGAATAAAATAAAATTCTAAAAAGGAAACCAACTCATAAAAGAATAATCTACTGCTCAAATGAGAAATTCTAGTCAGTAAACTTTATAGTGAGATGCTAATATAATCTAAATTACTATAGCTCATTAACATTTAAAGACTAAATTATTGGTTCAAGACTGAATAATGTTTATTTTAAACTAGGGGCCTGGTGCACAAAAATTTGTGCACTCGGGGGGGGGTCCCTCAGCCCGGCCTGCGCCCATTTGCAGTCCAGGACCCCTTGGGGGATGTCCACCTGTCGACTTAGGCCCACTCCCTGGGGGATCAGGCCTAAGCTTGCAGTCAGACATCCTTCTGGCAGCCAGGGAGCCCTCAGGGGATGTCCAACTAAAGGCTTAGGCCCCCAAGGGATCGGGTCTAAACCATTAGTTGGACATTCTTAGTGCTGCCATGGAGGTGGGAGAGGCTCCTGCCACCACCTCTGCACTGGCCAGCCATGAGCCAGCTTCTGGCTGAGTGGCACTCCCCATATGGAAGTGCACTGACCACCAGGGGGCAGCTCCTGCATTGAGCGTCTGCCCCCTGGTGGCCAGTGCGCATCACAGCAACCGGTCATTCTGCCGTTCAGTCAATTTGCATATTAGCCTTTTATTATTATTATTATATAGGATGTCCCTATTTCCCCCCTTTTGCCCCCTCTACCCAGCTCTTGCCCCCCACTTCTCTCTGGCCATCACCATACTGTTGTCTGTGTCCATGGGTTGTGTATATATTTTCTTTGGCTAATCCCTTCTTTAAATTCACTTCTTTAAATTTTTATTTTCAGATAAGTGCTTATAACTGCACTATTATATATTTTCTATTATATCATTTAGAATTCAGATATCTTTTAATTGAACCCTTGTAAATTTTAGCACAATTTAATAAATTATGCTAGAAGCAATTAGGAGATTTTTCATGTAATGCAGATACATTTCAATTAATATTTTATTAATTTTTAATTTTTTAATATTTTAATTTGAAATAATCTCATACATGTAAAAAAAACTATAAAATACTACATCATATTATATGTACCCTTCACCCAATTTCTTAGGTGTTAATAATTTAAACATAACCATTATACAACTAACAAAATTTGGAATATATTTTTCTTATAATCTCTTTAATGTTACTTAATCCATTTACTTTTTTTTTGTTAATCTTCACCCAAGGATATTTTTCCATTGAATTTTAGAGAGAGTGAAGGGAAAGGGAGAGACACATTGATTGGTTGCCTCCTGCACATGCTTTGATAGGGAATGGGGATAAGCCAGCAACTGAGGTACATGTCCTTGACTGGATTCGAACCTGGGAACCTTCAGTCCACGGGCTAATGCTCTATCCACTGAGCAAAACAGGTTGCAGCTTAATTCATTTACTTTTAATCTATATGTGTCTTTATATTTAAAGTAGGTTTTTTATTTTTATTTCTTATTTTATTTTTTTATTTTTTATTGCTTAAAGTATTACAAAGGGTATTACATATGTGTCCTTTTTTTCCCCGCCCTTGACAATCCCCCGGCTTCCCCTACCCCCCAGTGTCTTATGTCCATTGGTTATGCTCATATGCATGCATACAAGTCCTTCGGTTGATCTCTTATCCCCCTCCCTCCTGCCCCCCAACCCTCCCCGGCCTACCCGCTGCAGTTTGACAATCTGTGTGAGGCAGCTCTGCCTCTGTATCTATTATTGTTCAAAAGTTTATAATGGTCTCTATTATCCATGAATGAGTGAGATCATGTGGTATTTTTCTTTCATTGACTGGCTTATTTGACTTAGCATAATGCTCTCCAGCTCCATCCATGCCATTGCAAATGGTAAGAGTTCCTTCTTTTTTACAGCAGCATAGTATTCCATCGTGTAGATGTACCAAAGTTTTCTAATCCATTCATTTACTGATGGGCACTTAGGCAGTTTCCAGATCTTAGCTATGGTAAATTGTGCTGCTATGAACATATGGGTGCATATATCCTTTCTGATTGGTGTTTCTGGTTTCTTGGGATATATTCCTATAAGTGGGATCACGGGGTCAAATGGGAGTTCCATTTTTAGTTTTTTGAGGAAACTCCATACTGTTCTCCATAGTGGCTGCACCAGTCTGCATTCCCACCAGCAGTGCACAAGTGTTCCTTTTTCTCCACATCCTCTCCAGCACTTGTCGTTTGTTGATTTGTTGATGATAGCCAGTCTGACAGGTGTGAGATGGTACCTCATTGTTGTTTTGATTTGCATCTCTCGGATGATTAGTGACTTTGAGCATGTTTTCATATGTCTCTTGGCTTTCTGAATGTCCTCTTTTGAAGAGTGTCTATTTAGGTCCTTTGCCTATTTTTTGATGGATTTTTTATCTTCCTTTTGTTAAGTTGTATGACTTCCCTATAAATGTTGGAGATTAAGCCCTTATCGGTGATAACATTGGCAAATATGTTCTCCCATGCAGTGGGCTATCTTATTGTTTTGTTGATGGTTTCTTTTGCTGTGCAGAAGCTTTTTATTTTGATGTAGTCCCATTTGTTTATTTTCTCTTTAGTTTCAAGTGCCCTAGGAGCTGTATCAGTGAAGAAATTGTTTCGGCATATGTCTGAGATTTTGTTGCCTTTGGATTCTTCTAGAATTTTTATGGCTTCCCGTGTTACATTTAAGTCCTTTATCCATTTTGAGTTTATTTTTGTGTATGGTGTAAATTGGTGGTCTAGTTTCATTTTCTTTAATATATCTGTCCAATTTTCCCAACACCATTTATTGAAGAGACTATCTTGGCTCCATTATATGTTCTTGCCTCCTTTGTCAAATATTAATTGAGCATATTGGTTCGGGTCAATTTCTGGGCTCTCTATTCTATTCCATTGATATATATGTCTGTTCTTGTGCCAGTACCAGGCAGTTTTGAGAACAGTGGCTTTGTAATACAGCTTGATATCTGGTATTGAGATCCCACCTACTTTGTTCTTTCTCAGGATTGCTGCAGCTATTTGGGGTCTTTTTTTATTCCAGATGAATTTTTGGAGAGTTCATTCTAGATCTATGAAGTATGCCGTTGGTATTTTAATGGGAAGTGCGTTGAATGTATAGATTGCTTTGGGTAGTATGGACATTTTAATGATGTTGATTCTACCAATCCATGAACACGGTATGTTCTTCCATCTGTTTATGTCTTCCTCTATCTCTTTTTTTAACGTCCTGTAGTTTTCTGAGTAGAGGTCTTTTACCTCTTTAGTTAAGCTTATTCCTAGGTAGCTTAATTTTTTTGGTGCGATGGCAAATGGGATTGTTTTTATAATCTCTCTTTCTGAAAGTTCACTATTGGTATATAGAAATGCCTCAGATTTCTTGGCATTAATTTTGTATCCTGCTACTTTGCCAAATTCATGTATTAAGTATAGTAGTTTTTTGACGGAGTCTCTAGGGTTTTGTATGTATAATATCATGTCCTCTGCAAATAAGGACAGTTTTACTTCCTCTTTTCCAATTTGGATGCCTTTTATTTCTTCTTCTTGTCTAATTGCAATGGCTAATACTTCCAGTACTATGTTGAACAGGAGTGGTGAGAGTGGGCATCCTTGTCTTGTTCCTGTTCTTAGGGGAAATGGTGTTAGTATTTGTACATTGAGTATGATGTTGGCTGTGGGCCTGTCATATATGGCTTTTATTATGTTGAGGTATGATCCTTCTACTCCCACCATGCTGAGAGTTTTTATCAAAAATGGGTGTTGGATTTTGTCAAATGCTTTTTCTGCATCAATTGATATGACCATGTGGTTTTTT